CTTGACTGCTTTGGTTCTGAGGAAAATCACTCATCTGAACATGGTATTTGCAAGAGGGGGAGATCTCCCCCTCCCATTGGTGCTAATATATAGTTTGAACCTCAGGGAAGATGTGGACTGGGAAACAATGAATAATTTGAATCAGCAATGCAGGTGAAATCCTCTACAAACCAAGCAACTCCTGAAACCAGAAGTTTTTATTTTCTGCTTGAGGTTTCAAAAATAGGATGGTTGTCAAGCATTATGCCCTCTCTCTCTCTCTCTCTCTCTCTCTCTCTCTCTCTCTCTCTCTCTCTCCGTCTCTCTCTCTCCGTCTCTCTCTCTCTCTCTAGGATATTTGTATGCCATCCTTTGCAAGAGCCTCAAGATGGCTTAAACAATAAAATACAAATATCTAACATAACGTAAATTAACGACCCACTCTGGCTGCAATTAAAATATGATAAAATTCAATATTAAAACTTATTAAAATATTGATTAAATAAAAAGGTCTTAACCTGGCACCAAAAAACATATGATGATGGTGCCAGGTGGACCTCTCTGGGAAGCGCATTCCATAGAGTATTGGGTTGCATTTCATTTATTAGGTCATGAACTGTGTAAGCCCAAGTTACGATGTTACTGTTAATAAACTACTACTAATATAGGGCAGGTTTGCACAACTGTTAAGTTATTCTGTGAATGGGCCACTGTGGAATGATTGTTCCCTGAACAACCCATGGTACTTCTGACAGATGATCAGGCTTACCATGGCATGTTTTCCTTCATTCCTACTCAGCCTGCTGACCGCTTCTGGCAGGTATCCTAGGGACCTTCGTGGTAGAACTCCTTGTTTCCTTGGTCCCTACACTTTGTCACTTAAACTACTTAAAAACAAACGCCCTAAAAAAAGGTCTGCCTTGTAAGCACAACCACTCACAGAGCATCCTTCTCTAATAGTTAGCTACTCTTCCACTTTGGCAATTGGATTGCAACCTAGCACTGTTTTTAAAGCCTGCATCATGTTATATTAAAGTAAGCACCCCTGCTCCCAAATTGAGGAAGGCCGTGGGACAGTAGTTTTTGTCCAGCTTTGTTTGGCTCCCTGCCCCTTCCTGCTTGTTCTTTCCCTTTCTTGCTAGCTGTCATATCTTGCTATGGGTTACAGAGTTGTGAGTGGGATCAGGAGGCATACACAAATGTTATGACAAAGCAATAACACAGAGGGGAAAATTGCAGAAATGTCAAGGCAGCTGTCATTCACTCCTGCACACCTGCAACAGCACTGAAACAAACAATGGTAAGTTGCAGATATTTGTTCTTTTCAGTTTTTAGGAGCATTAGGGTAGAGTTCTGAGACAGCCTGTGGGAGGACGGTGATAGCGTGTGTGAGTGTGTGAAAGAAGCAGTGGGGATTTTTGCTGAGGTGGCAACTTTCTATGATGAAAACAGCCTGCCAGGTTCAGATGACACAGCAAGTCATCATAGGTACAAATAACCCTCAGTATGTCTTGTTTATGAAAAATAAGTCACCCTGAAGAAACTCTGCTTGTCCACACGACATAATAACCCACAGGGCTATCACCCATGTTGGGTCATCATTCCATGCCAACCAGGTCATCTTGCCATCAGTGTGCCTGGTGTTTCATAGAATATAAGAAAGTAGGTTTCTGCTGTAACTATTTTAAGTAAGAGTTTTCTCAGCCCTATTTTGAGATGCCAGTGTTTGAACCTGGCACCCTTCTTCCTGCAAAAACAAGCTTCATCCCACAGTGCAATGACACTTCTTAAATGAAAGTTCTCAGGATTTGCCAAGAAGAGCCATGACACGTAATGTAGTAGATGACAACACACAGCTTACAAACTGTACTTTCTGTGAATATATGAATAAACCCATGTACGTTTTTAGCATAGGTATGCAGAAGAACATATGCCGAGTAGAAAAAGATGGACACATTTCATTTCATTTCATAGACAGTGGCAGAAAATCAAGAAGGTGACATGAAGTGAGATGTAACCTGAGTGTATTGCTTTCATATTCAGTTTGAAATACAGTGATACATTATTTCTATGAAGGCTTCTACATAAGGAATACACAAAGCCAAGTTTATATTTATGAATTAAAGTTTTGAATTAAGATTTAAAGCAAAACATTATTTTTAGCTTTAGCAGTTATGGTGTTTTAATGTTTGTGTGAATTGCTGCTGTCTTAAACTGTGTATTACTTGTGGTGCTTAAGAGAAAAGCGGATTGGAAATGTATTAATACATTTCTGCTTTCTGTGTGAGACCGTGTTTATTGATGTGCCCTGAAAATAAAAGCAATGGGAATAGTAATGATTATTCTTGCTGTTGCTTTTTATTTGTATTTGATTTCCATACAATGTTGTGACTATAATTGTTATTTTTGTGTTATTTTAATAATGCAGAGCATTTCTTTCAGTGTCAGGGGAACTGGTACACACAGTAATGTAATGTTGTTCTGCTACAAAGACTTGGGTTGCCATAAGGAAAAAGTCTTGAGCAGGGATAGCCAACTTTTTCATGGGGATGGAGAGGAGGGAGAGAGCTTCCCTAACCAAGCTTGACCTTTGGCCATATCACTGCTCCCCCTTGTGTCCATCGGCTGGAGGAAGCCTCCTAGCCTTGAAATGTAGATGTAATGTATATGTTCCTGGGCCAGGACATGACCAAGAATGCAAAAAATTGTATAAACCAATTTACGGATGTTCTAAAGCCTCTCTCTTGGAAAACCCTTCCTCCTAAAGACAAGGTGGCATTTGATTTCGAGAAAAAATCTCAGGAAGGAATATTGAGGTCTGGGCAGCAGGTGGTGATGCAAAGCATAAGGGGGCAAAAAGCCAGCTAATCCAGGGAGATGAGATACAACAGAGGTCATTACCCGCCCCCCCCCCTTTACCTTTATTTCAGCAAGGTGCTCCAAATGAAGGATTCTGCCTCAGTGGCATCTTAGTTTGTGCAGAGAACTACAGATGACTTTGGAAGGAAGTGCAAGAGCAGCAGTAGCTTTTGCCTGATTGACTTCCATTTTCAGCCTTAATCCCATCTCACCAGTGTCCTTCCACTCCATACCACAGCACAAGAGAATGCCTCAGGCTATGCATTAATGTCATGGTGTGCAAAGATGGCTTGCAGGTGTGCAAGGCACTGTTTCTGGTGTGTGATACTGCTTGTAAAATGTGGATTATTGTTGTGTTGTCATCTGCTATATTTAAAGGCTATATATGAGCTTGGGCAGATGAATGGAAAAGCCCATACTTAATCTTCAAAAAGCATTCCAAAACTGCTTAGAGCATGAGGTGGATCAAAGGTGGATTTAGTATGGAATTTATCTTACAGGTGGTTATGAGAATACCAAGATCCAAATATTGCAGAAGTAGCATGGATTGCATTGCTGGAATGGGCAGTTCTGTGTTTTTTTCCAGAATACAGATTGAAACATTTAAAAAACAGTAGGAGGTATATAACAGTATAAAAGCATGCAAAACAAATAAACAATTTCTTTTTAAATAGACTGTGGCAGGAAAAGGAATGTGGATATGAATCAAGGTCAGGAATTGTTTTGCATTACTCTTCACCTGTGTTTGAAAAACTATTATCAGAATGGAGCCTTAGGTTGAACTCTTATGCACACTTATTTGGGGCTAAAGGTGTATCCTAGTCCAAACCTATTTAGAAGCATGTTGCACTGAAGTAAGTGAGATTAATTTCCAAATAAACATGAATGGCAATGACTGTGTATGTCCCATTGAAGTGAAAGGACTAATTTCACGCTAAGGTGCATAGGGTAAGGTCGCAAATCTTTTCATCTACACTATTTTACAATTGTATTTATTCAAGCATTTTAATGTTGTTTTCTGCCAGCCACATACTGGTATTCAAGGCAGCTCACAAGAAAATAAAAGTATTAAAGCCAGAATAAACATAGCTCAAAAAAGTAGGCAAAATAAAACAGTTCACCAGTCATAGCACACAACTATGACCAAAGACAATACCATTCATGATTATAATCTACTAATTAATACAAAATGAATCATTGACCAAAAGCTGAAGTAAATGGGACAGCTTTTACCTAGTTTGAAATCACTGTTAGTCAAACATATAGGTGGATTGACACTGCTCTCAGTGATTCTGGTGTCAATTGCTATATCGCAGTAAGTTCTCCACCTATTCTTTATTTCAAATGTGGTTCCTTATGTACCATATGCCAGGATGCACCTTAATTGCAAAAACCCATTTTAATTTAGTACAAGTGTGGTACATTCAAATAAAGTACAGTTAATATCCTATCATACATAATACATAATTTTCTTCTGGGGTCACAATTGTTCCTTAGTTTGGAGGAATGCATTGCATTCAAAAAGGAACAGTAATGAAATTCTTGATTTGCCAGAAAAGCACTGATGAACAAAACAAACAAACACTGTCATGTTTAATGGAACCATTAAAGCATGTTACTCTTAGGCAGAGTTGAACTTCCAGATCTTCAGCCTTCCTCAGAGAGATGACTTTGTTGAAGTGGACCTGTGATCCATATAAAGATGTGTTTGTTGATCAAACAACCTCAGCTTGCATTCTGAAGCCCTGCAGCAGTGACGGGAGCCCTCCAAAGGCGGTTGTTTTGCAGTTCCCCTAACTAGTGCTTTTTCTGACTAGGGCTGATGGAAACTGCCGTTCACCAAGATCTGGTTAGCTACACATTCCCCACTCCTGCTTTAAACATTAGGTCAACAGACGTTCAGCAACTTGGATAATTGAAGCTTGCAGAACTCTCATTGACATATAATCCCATCAGAGGCTGAATCCTTCCCATGGCACATTTCATGTCAAAGCGAACATTAACCTTACGATGCAAAATAGTAATGGTAGTAGTGGTAGCAAGGCGGCGGCAATAACAACAACAGAATTAATAGTCTACCTTTACAGAATGATTTTATCATGCATTAGGCATTGCTTGTTAATACCCAGAAGATTTACTGTCTCATTTTTCTCTGCTCTCAGTCAACAGAATACTCAGCCATGGCATCACTAGCTGGTGGATTAGATGACATGAAGGCCAATTTAACAAGCCCTACTTCAGCAGATATAGGAGCCAGTGTTCCAGGGCCACAATCATATCCTATTGTGACAGGTAAGACACATTAGATAATGTAATGAGGATACATGTTAAACATGGACATGCTGCGTGAGGACATAATAGGTCAGTGTGGAACAGGAGTTATGTATTTGAAAAATGGTCCTAAGCATCTTGTATCCTAGATAGGCTTGCCAACTGTTATTTCAATGAGATGTACTAGTACTGTAAAAAGCTAACTTTAATATATTACAAGGACTGTATATTCTGATGGAGTATTGCTAAGACATGAAATACGCCATTTTCTTATGGTTTTGCAATGTGTGTATTACTTTCAAGTTCTTTAGGCCACAAGCATCCCTACCTGTGTAACTTCCTTGCCCTCTTAGAGCAACTGGAAAGGTGGTCCTCTTGTATTGACTAAATGCAGAGTTCTGTATTCCTTTAGCTCTGTGTTCTAAATGAGATGGGGTATGGTGTCATGCCACTTCTTTTCATACTAAAATCCACACTACTTAATTCCAATGGATGTAGCTGAGTGTGGCTTAATTTGAAATGAAACCTTCCCACTTTCCTTGGGTATAAGGAGGTCCTTCCCCATTTTGCCAACAATATCAAATGCTGTACACAAGAAGATCTCCCATATTACTTTCTTAAACTGCATTTTCCATTAGCTGAAGACTTTCTTTTCTATTTCCTTCACTGAGTTGATGGGAATTTGTCACTGTTGCATTTCTAGCTTCTAGTTCTATAACTTACACATGATTAATTGAATGTTACTGATTTTTATTTAATAGTACTGGTTTTATTTTATTATCTGAATACTTAATGAAGAAAAGTGGCACATCTATTTGTTTATAAAGAAATTAATTAAAATATTCATTGAGTTCAGATGTTCAGTACAGGATGTATGTGGAGTTGTAGGAGATCACAATAGGATAGGATTTGCCACTGTTCTTTTCATCTTACATCCCACCTAAATATATACAAGAAGGGAAATAAGGATTTGACTGGCCTTTATGTTACATGGCCAGAACAGATGAAGAAGATAAGGAGGATTTAATTAGTTGTGTTTTATGCTGGTTTATTTCACTGCATGAGGAATGAGTACCAGGGGTGAAGTGAGAGTGGGAGAGTCAAGGGTTGCCTGACCCAGGAAGATAATGAGCTAGGAACAGTTCTGCGTATGGGCATGGAAATACCTTTTGTTTCTTTCTTATGGTCCTAAGTTTGCATTTATTATGAGCAGAAAGCATTTATTTTTAGAGGAATATTTAAATCCTAAAATCCTTTTGAGGTCATAGGGATTTGTATTTGAATGCCATGTGGAAGTCGGGACTGATTATTACTTTATGGATTACAGACAAGTGGACATAATGTAAGTGGCACATTAATTAGTTGAAATGTTAATTAAGAATTAATGGAGAAGTGGTACACAACAGCTCTAAGTAATCACAAACCTTGATGCTGCATGAAGAGCAACATTAATGGCACTGTTCTCCACATTTGCTCTTCCCCTCCTATCCCTTTTTGTTTTTTTGGCTCATTATACTTGGTTATTTTTACTTGCTTTTGCTTTTTGTTTGTTACTTTAATATGGTTCATTTGTTTATTTTGAGTATTAACATTTTGTTCAAGAACTGCTAAAGGTTACAATACTATGCTGTGGTATATATGGTGAGTTCCTTCATAACAGGGTGCAAATGAAAGAACAGAACACAAGTACAGTACTTCTACTGAAACTAATTTCTTATCTAAAGACATTCTAAACAGTTTTACCTGGAAACACATTCGGTTGAAACAGCTTCCAGCTACCTTACTTAGCTCCAGTGCGATTTTTTTCTGTTGCAGTTGTGGTTCTTGGTTTTTATGTTAGTATGCTGAGGACAGGGGTGGGCAGACTGTGGTTTTCAGATGTTTTGGCCTACAGTTCCCACTGTCCATTACTACTGATTATATGGTTAGGGCTGATGAGAGTTGTAGTTCAAAACATCTGGAGGGACACAAGATACCTACCAATAAATCAGGGCTACTGTGATTAATATGTGCATTCAGTGCACAGTCTAGCACATTTAAGCTTTCTAGGTGTGATCTGTTTGAGATCATCATTTGTATTATAATTGTCTAAGATAGTTGTGCTATCAGAAGTGATGACAGAGCAGCCCTGGCACTGCTTGCCTCTCTCATGGAACATTGGATGGTTTGTCTAATTTTGGGCTGTAACTAACTTGGCTGCCTGGCAATGAGAGGGAAGCTTGGACCGTCAGACTTATGGCTTCATTGATTGAGCTGCTTTGATCTTGGGGGCTGGGCAGGTAGAAGAAGAGGGAGTAAGACTTGGAAGATGGAATACTGCAAATGAATAAGGGACTAAAAAGCAGTAGACAGAGGGCCAGTGCATACAGCCATCACAGCCTGCTGTAGCTTTTTGAAACCAAGGTGAGTTCTGGGGCAAGCAACAGACCATGGGTTAACTGAGGGTTGCTTAACCCTCAAAGATTCTCTTCCTCCTGAGTTTAGACAGCTTGACAAACTGCAGCACCCTGAACTGAGGGCTGAATATTCAGAATGGCACTGGCCTACTACAATTGTGTAAGCCTGCTTACTGAGTAAGAGGGGACGGAAAATGAAGAGAGGATGGGACGAAATGAGAAATCTGCTTGACTAGGAACTGTAGAAGGAAGTTTATACTTTTATGTGAAATATCCAAAGATGTTTTGGGTTGTAGTTCTCTAGTAAGTGTATATAACACTCTCAATAGGAAGGTCTTGGCAGATATAGGTGGCCTATACATACACGTATAAATAAATAGCACTTTATAGAATAATGAAAAGTTAATACACATCCATTCTAGGGAATTTGCATTCTAAACTGAAAAAGTCTAGGAACATTTCTGGATAGGGTAATCACTTATGGCTTGTCTCTAATACGCCCTTGATTCATATAATACTTGGTGACCTGGAAAGAAATAATGAGCTTACTATATAAAATGGAGAGGAGAAGAACCTTGTAAGTCACCATGAGTTCCTTGCAAGAGGAAGAAAGGCAGTATATTAATGTAATTTCAGAAGACTAATAATAAAATAATAATAATGTAATAATAGTATATAGAGTAAAGCATGAGCAATATAATAGGTTTTACCACTGTGCCTTACACATACATCCTCTTGCAGATAAACCCTAATAGCTCTTGGACCAATAATCTCCTTTAAGTAGCTTGAGGGTATAAGTTTATGCACACTTATTTTAGAGTAAGTCTTCCAAATGATTAAAGAATATTTGATCATCTATCTATCCATCCATTAATATAACCAAAACGTCACTGTCCATACATTTCACAGGCACTGAAGGAAGTATGAAATACCTTTCAGTGTAAGAAACAATAGTTCCCATCCCATTTTAGAAGGAAAGGATAACACTTTTTGCATTTCAGTACCAGGCAAAAACCTTTTTATTTCCCCAGGTTTTTAAAATCATTATTGTATTTTAATTAGTTGTAGCAAGTGTGGGCACTAAGGAGTTTTTAACTAATTTATTGTTGTAATACAGTTTTAATATATATTTATGTTTTTGACTTTTTATGTAAACCACCTTGAGATTTTATAATAATTAAACAGTATATGGGAAATTTAAAAGTAAGTATTTTCCTTTCTCAAATCCAGTAACACATTAGAACCAACATGCTTTCAACCCTAAAACCAAGTTTTCCCCTCTCAGCCATAATGATTATTATTGGGCATACCAATTAAAATGGGCTTCCACACTCCACACAGAATGTATCCTACTCAAGCCTCATTGAAATGAACTGAGGTTCTTGCAAAAGTTCCAGTCATTTTGGTGAGGCATGACCAGGGAAGGAAAACTTGCCACTAAATTGTGCTCAGGGTTGCTTAATATAAAGATTTCAAATGGGGACTTGCAATCTGGAACAAGAGGCTTGTAGAGTTGTTTGGGATTTGCAGAGGACATATTTTTCTTTTGCCATCTTCCTCAGACCTTCTGCTGTTGTGCTGTGTAAGTAGCAAAGGGCTCATAATAAAGGCTGGCTGTAAGCCCTGAATCTAAGGGCTTTATTGCTCTGTATTTTGAGGTCTATATACAGCTTGCAGAGGCTTTTTTAAACCTCTGGTGCACAGCCTCCCTAATGCTCAATACAGCCTGCCTAATGCTCAATTAGAAATTCAAGCAGGTCATTTTTTTCTCTTGTTTCATTCTCTCCCCACACCTACCTACCTACCTACCTACCTTCCTTCCTTCCTTCCTTCCTAAAACACATTCAGCATTCCAAGGCTCAATAGCCCTCCCCAATAAACTTGATTGTTAGACTCGTACAGTCTGACCTTCAGTTCCTTTATACCCACCATTTCTAATCCTCTGGCATAGAAATAAAAGCTGCCCCCAAGCACAAATCTAGGCTGTTTAGTATAGCTGCAGCACATCACCCCTAACTCACCCCAAACAAAAATGTAGTAGGAAAGACAGAATGCAATTTAAGCCTAGACATTCCTTTTCCATATAATGAGGTGGATTACTGTAGTATTTCACATCATTCTGCAGATTCTGGAAGCTCACAGGTTAATTTTGGTGGGAAGGGGTTCGTTAAAAGAATCTTCAGCTTTTAATTTAAACTTTTAATTTACTTCTAGTGAGTCCTTGCATATATAAAAACCATTCTCTTATTTTTTGGGGGTCCCATTTTGTTCCCAAACTGAAAGGCACTTGAGTTGCCAAGTTTGCTGTTACAGGAAATTAAAGATTGCTACCATAATAACAACAATTCTGGAAAAGTGTTTTTGTCTCAGTGTGCCACAGCTCAGTGAAGATATGTCTTTCATGGTTAATATCAGGAAAAAGCATAATTATGTTGGCATAATTATTAAAATAAATGTAAATCAGTTTTCAACATGCTGTATTACTACTTAAATTAGTGGGCCACTCTCAGTTGTAAGTACTTCCCCTTTAAAAAATACAGTAGAAATAAAAAGAAGCCTTCAAAAGGGCAAATAAATTAAGGTTGCCACCTCTCCCAGAGGGGAATAAAAATCTGTCAGTGCTCA